GAAAGTGCTCCAAGCCCCTGACAGGGAATGGGTGATCCAAGGGATCTCTGTGCTGTAGATCCACCTGCACATTACAGCTCTGATGTGGAAATAAAGACCAGGCCTTTCATCTCACCCCACCACGTCTGTCCTTCATCTGCTGGGGATGGGCCAAGGCCCTGCCAGCATTACTCTCCCCTTTGTCTCTCCCTGCTGGGCACGTGGCGGGGGGGGCACCCAGAGAGTGGCAGTGATGGGGAGTGTGGGGTACCAGCATGCTGGCAGCGCTGTTTGTGAGTTTGCAGGTCTCTGCTGAGCGAAGGCACTCAGGGGTGCAAGAGGCCGTGTTTGGGGCAGCCGTCCCTGGGAACCCCCAGTCGCCCTGCTTGGCTGCTGGGTCGCTCCTGTGTGGACTCACTTCTGTCTTGTGCCGGGAACAATGGTGGGAGGGGATGGGGGAAGGGGTCAAATAGCTGCTGCAGTGATTGCAGGGAACAGGTCACTAGCCCTGCTCCCCTCCAATCCTCTGGAGGACAGAAGTGGTCTCTCCCGCCACCCAGTGGTAGTGCTGGGAACGGCCTCTTTCTTGGCTTCCCAGTGAGCCCTGACCCCCTTTCTGCTGTGTCACTGGGTTTCTTTCTCTTGATCGCGCTGCCATTCCGCAATCCCCCTTCTCTCTCCTCTCTCTCTGTCCCCTTCCCTTCTCCGTATCCTCCCCGTCTCTCCCGCTCTCCCTGGCTGACGAGTGGCAGGAGAAATTTCAGTGCTGCCCATGGTGCAGGAGCCCCTTTCCCTGCTGATTTGCAGTCACGCCTGGTTTTGCCTCAGAACTGGCTTCGGGGAGGGGACAGGGCTTATGTTTGAGTGAAATCATTTCCTCCATGTGCAAGGTGCGAAATCTGACACTCTGACAAGTTAGTTTTCGCGTCCAAAGTGTTGAGGGTGGGGGGGAGGTTGATGAAACGTCTCAGAAACGTGACATCTGGGGACCGGAGGAGAGGAACCGAACATCAGGAGATCTTGCGGGGTGAAGGAGAATATCCCATTTCCTGCCGTTGAATCACGGGGCTAACAAGACCGTTGGCGAGGAGACAGGAGCCAAACTCCCCTTCGCTGCTCGACACAGAACCACGGCCTCTCCCTTTGGACTTACCCCCCACCCCCTGGAGCCAAGAGGAGGGGGGAATCTGTAGAACCCCAGAGATTGCGCCGCCTCCTCGTGCGGTACCAGTCCCCAGCTGACTTCCATGGGCAGCTCCAGGGGGAGAATTGAGCTCCCGTTTTCCACCAGCTGCTTGGGCCTGAAAACACCTTATGACATCTCTGAGCAGGAGAGAGAGGCACCAATTCTGAACTGCAGCCAAGCTGAGTTTAGGACTGGGGGGGCAAAGATCCAGCCCCCAGGCTCTGGTGTTGGCTGGCAACCAGTCTGGTCAACAGTCACTGGCGGGCTGCTCTCTCTTATACTCAGCCGCCAGAGCCCCCTAAGGAGCCATTCCCGCCTCTGAGAATAGTCCGAGATCAGCAGCGTTCCAGCCGCATCCATGTGCCGGAAGCTGTGAGGGGAGAAAAGCGTGATGTAGAGCATCACACCAGCTTTGTACCCCCTAAAGATTTGCCAGTGTTGGGGTTACTCCCAGGGACTGGCCCCACCAGCTCAATAGGGCCATGGCAGAGGCCACAAGGGGGGTGGCTGAGCGTGCGTGCGTGTGAGAGAGAGAGAGGCTGAGCCATCAGCAGCTAGCATTATCCAGTTTCCATTAGGGATAGATCATGTCGCATTTTTAGCAGTTGAGACAAGAGAGGTTTTTAGTTTCGTCTGGCTGGCTTTTCTGGACGGACACACACACACACAGGCTTCTAAACTGGCCGCCTTTTAACGTAGCATGTCCGTTTTTCCTCTGTCTTGCGCTGGAAGGAGCAAATCGCCCCCAGCTGCGTGCACCTGTCCCGTTCCGGCTGGCACTTCTCGCTGCTACAATCAGTTTCATTGCCTTCCGCTAACAACACTCCTAATGCAAAAGAGTCGGCACTGTCGATCCGGGACAATGCAAAAGAGGAGCATTTTTTGAGGAAAGGATGGAGATTTTTAAATGTCTCGTTCAACAGCACAAACAAAACCTCTATCTCAGAGGATGGGGAGGGTTTAAAATGGGGGACTAGGCACCCATGGGGTACAGTTGCACTGGTGCTCCATCCAGCCCAGTATCCTCTCACCAGCTGCTATAGAGGAGGAAAATTGCTACACTTCTGGAATAACCTTCCCCCGGGGAAAGTTTCCTTCTGAGCTTGAGGTTGGGTTAAGCCCTGAAGCATCAAGATTCCTCTCTCTTCCCAAACTCTAGTTTGTTTGATGTTTCCTACAATCACTCATAAATGCCTGATCCTCCTTTGCAATCCTGCTAAGCACTTGGCCTTTTGTGGCCATGAGTTCCAGCATGATTGGTGTCAGGGGCGGGGGGGAGGAGGCATTGCCTTGTATCTGTTTTTGCTTTGCAACCATTCAGTGGTGGAAATCGTCCATCGTTCCGCTGGTTGTCTGTCTGCCCGTAGTCCTGGCTTCTATTCCAGAGGGAAGTTTGGTGTTTGATTGGCAGCTGCATGCAGCAGGAGATGGGAAGGCAGCTGCGGAGCTATTCAGCAGTGAGGGGCAGCCCCAGGGACTGGTGGAGTCAAATCTCCATGCTGGGGAGGCAAGGCAAGGCCCCCCCGAGGGGAGAGGGGATGCTCCAAGGTGTGGCCTGGCCGCCTCATAGTGGGAGATGCTTAGCACCGGAGGGGTCAGCCAGGCAGGCGAGGAGAGAGCGTGGAAGCCAGCAGACCTGAGAGCAAGGGCAATGCTGCTGAGTGTGGAGGGGCGCGAGGCAGTGCCGGGGGGGAACAGCAGCCTTGGGAGCATGCACGGGCAATGCTCTGCTGCGGGAACAGTGGTAGAATGTTTTGCTTCTTTCCTCGGAAGGTCAGCGAGGCTGGATTCGGCTCTCGGCTTGGCCGGTGTAAATCCAGAACAATGCCACTGAAGTCCGTAAAGTTGCTCTGGATTTTCCCCAGCTCCCCAAGAGCGAGATCTGGCCCTGTGTTGTGAGTGTTCGCGTGGAAGGAATGTATCTTGACGTGTTTCCAGACGGCTGGCTGGTGTGTGCGTGTCCTTTCCTGATGGGACGTTCCTGGATGTGTTCTGAGCCTGGCAGCGCCAGGAGAGAAGAGGGGCTGCTCCCCTGCGCTCTCGCTCTCTCTTTCTCTCCTCTGTCTGGAACAGCCCCTACAGTAGTGTTGTTTTGAAGGCACTACTAGACGATGGTAAAGCAGGGAGCTGGGAGTCAGGACACCTGGGTTCTATTTGTTGCTTTGCTACTGCCCTGCTGTTTGACCTTGGGCAAGTCCAGGCCACCGCTGCGTGCCTCAGTTTCCCCATCTCTCAGACGGGGCTGGGGATAATGATACTGACCTGCAGCGAAGCAGCAGGTTTGGAAGTCTTGTTAGTAATTAGCTCGTTTGATTAACGTGTTCCTTGAATTGGAGGCTCTATAAAAGGGCATCAGATGACCCTCCCTCCTTCCCGCTCTTGTGAACCCTGGAGCAAAGAGTAGGCACACAGTACCGAGTCCACAGGAGGACAGGCCACCCCGGGGCAGCATCATTGCCAAGGCGCAGCCCGGCATTCCCCTTCCCATGTGCATTGAGGGCCCAATCCTGCATGGTGCTAAGTACCTCCAGCTCCCATTGGCTCCACAAGAGGTGGAGCGTGACCAGCCCCTTACAGGATTGGGCCTTAGGGGCTACCCTTGGCAAAGTGCCTAGGATTTCCAGGGGAGCATTAACCCCGTCAGGGCACCACCCACGCCGAGGGCATTCCAGAGCCTCTGCCGAGGACACAGGCACATTCTAGGCAGATGGCTGTTGGCCCAGTGACAGAGGTTGGGGAAGGAAGGATACAGACCCAGCTTTATTATGGCACTACCATGCAGGTACCCATGGGACTGACATTCCATTGAGGAGGAGGGCTAGCTTTTTGCTAGGGGCTTTTATTGAGCCTAGGGGCCTAGCAGCTAGTCCTGCTCTCTCTTGGCCCCAAACCGCTGTCTGAGGTAACATAAAATATATAAAATAAACACGATGAAAAGGAAAATAACTTCGTTTTGATTTTCTTTTTCTTGAACTAGGCCAGGACCTGTGTGTGAACAGGATTAGCAACTGCAGTGCCACTGTACCGGCCAGAATAAAAAAATAGAGGTTATCTATCCTCATGCTTCAGGGTGTAAACCGATCAGCAGCTGGGGTCAGGCAGGAGATGACTCCATTGGATGGCATTGAATTACACAGATGCACCATAGGGTTTTCCATCTTCCTCTGAAGCATCAGACAGTGTTGAGCGGTGTCTGAGACAGAGGGCTGGATGGACTGCATTTGATACAGCGGGGAGGAGGGATATCAGGTTAGATGGCTCATTGGTCTGCTCCAGTGCAATGCGAATTTCTATGGCCACACTTTTGCAAAGCAGCCTCCCCGGTTTCTCTGCCTCTGTTTTCAGTCGCCCGACCGGACACACCTCAGGCCTGATTCTTGAGGAGCACTGAGCACCTGGAGTTTGTCACCAGGAGTCGCAGGTGCTCAGCCCATCCCAAAAATCACGCTCGAGGCGTCTCCAGGTGGACAGCCGAAGCACAGAGGCAGCCTGAATCTGGGGCCAGCTTTTGGAAAGCTGGGTGTAGATGCCGCTGGTGAAGGGGGCTGAGGTCTGTCGCGTGCTGGGCTCCTGCATGCTGCTGGTGGTGGCGGTGGCTTGACCTGGAAAGCTTGCAATGGTGCGCGGTCCGCCTGTGACTAACACCTAGAACCCGAGCGCTAACCCCGTGTCGCGGCCGCCGTACGTAGGCTCCTCCCCTTCCCCGATTTTTCCCTTCCTTGTTCCTTACCCTCATCTTCCAACCAATAACCGATTGAAATGCAAGCCCGGAGCGAGGGTGCAATTGCACATGGATTGACACTGTTCCCCCTTCCATCTGTCTTTTCCTACCCAGAATTCCCCTCCACCCCGCCTCCAAATGATGACCGCAAATCAGTGGCGCAACCGAACATCCCCACGGCCGTGATTGGGGGCGTGGTGGGCGGAGTCTCGCTGGTCCTGGTGGTGGCCGTGGTGCTCTTTGTGTTGCTCCGCCGCCGGCGTCACACCTTCAAGGGCGACTACAGCACCAAGAAACACGTGTACGGCAACGGGTACAGCAAGGCCGGCGTCCCGCAGCACCACCCCCCCATGGCCCAGAACCTGCAGTACCCCGACGACTCGGACGACGAGAAGAAGCCGGGCCCGCTCGGGGGCGGCAGCTACGAGGACGAAGAGGAGGACGCCGGAGGCGAGCGCAAGCTGGGCCTCGCCAACAAGTACGAGGACGACTCCAAGCGACCTTACTTCACCGTGGACGAGGTCGGGGCCCATCCGGAGCCCTACAGCGAAAGGACACTCGGCTTCCAGTACGACCCCGAGCAGTTGGACCTGGCTGAGAACATGGTCTCCCAGAACGACGGATCTTTTATTTCCAAAAAAGAGTGGTACGTGTAGCTCGCCCCCTCCCCAGACCCCCACTCACGCTCCCACCCCCACCCCCCGCCCTCCAGACCCCGGCCGAGGGCCGTTCGCACACGCATCGCACGCGCGCGCTCACATCCATGCACGTCCACTGCTGCCCGGCCCAAGGGAGCTCGACAGAGACTTGAGACACCTGCCACTCATTCGGAGGCGACGGGGGCGGGGAGGGAGGGGCTGGTAGCTTTGCTTATGGATTGTTTTTTGGGGGGGGAGGTTGTTTTGGTTGGTTTGTTTGTTTTTTTTAATTTCTCCCACCGACTTTGTCCCCTTCTGTGGTGTTTGTATTGATCAGTGGCTTCGGTGTGACTATTTGCTTTAACTACTACTGCCCACCCTTGTATAATATGCCCCGTTTGTGTCTTAGTGTCTCGAATCGTCCTTCCCCAAAGATCCCTCCCGCTCCATGCCCCCCGAAACACTGGAATTTGTTTGTATGTTGTCTTATTTGGGGGTGAGGGGAGTCCATGGGAGGGCAAAAAAAAAAGGAGGACCAAGGAGGGGAAAAGCACAAAGCAATGAAGATCTAGATGCCATATCAGATGAATTTTTTTTTCTTTTTGTTTGTTTTTTTGGGGTGTTTCCATTCCCCCACAATGCGCCTGTGACGAGCGAGTCTCAGTGTTAAGCATGTAATGAACAAATAAGAATCAAAGGAAACTAAGCAAAATCCAAGGCGCACGGGGCTGTTATTGGCACAGGGAAATGGAGCTGCCGTTTCCCTCCTACCATTTATTATCCTTTTACAGTATTTAAAAACAAGCCAACAAAAAGAAAAGGAAAAGAGAAAGGGGGGAAAAGACCCTGGCCGTGGTGATGCCGCTGGTCCCTGCTGGGGTGTCCATATTGTTTAAAGATGTGAGGGGTTTTTAGTGTCAGCCAAGGAGGAGTTAATTTCACCCTGTTTCCGACACGCGTCATGTCCTCTGCACGTGCCTCCGTGCCACAGTGACGGGGAGGGTTCCAGGAGACACCCCTGTGCCCTGCCTGCAAAGCTGCTGCCGGTTGGCATGGTGCCACCCAGCCCAGTGGGCGGTTTCTTTAGGGGAGCTCCAATGGGGGCCTATGCGTTGACTTCAATGGGCATCAGGCCAGGCCCTTTGTATTTAAACTGCTAGGTCTTCGCGGTCATCAGTTTACATCCTTCCCCTTTGTGAGAGTGTTGCCAGCCACGTCTCCCGTAGTAATGACCCTTGCCCTTATGGCCACTGATAGCCTGCATCAAATGGCCTCTTTGGAGGCTGATAGGCCAAGGACTGATTGAGCCGTGTGCTGATCTCCTCTCGCCCCCTTGAGATGTGATGGGGAGGTTGGAGGGAAGCTTGGGTTGCTGCTACCCCTGCTGTTCTGTGGCTAACTGAGATTTCAGTCTCCAGGGCTGTCGGTCTGACACTGACCTTCCACCAAGGCAAGATTTGCTAGGTGTTTGTTTTTTCTGTTCCTTTACCAAATGGCTAAATGAATGAAAAAAAGATCACCGTTTTCAGAGGTGTATTAGAATGGGTTTAATTCTCCCCCGGTGCCATACACGGATTTCATGCCATAGCCATACAACTGGGCAGCAGAATGGAGACTCGGACCCTTTCTCATAATCCGAACCAAAATCCCACATCCAGCTTCAGCCAGACTCTGTTCCAAAGCCCGCCCCACGGTTTCTGGCTTGAGTCAGGTACAGTCGGACTTGACCCAGACCATTCCCTCGACTGATTGATTTCGTTCCTACTGTGGGGATGGGAAATCAGATAACTCGGTTGTGATTGTTCTGGTTTTTCCTGGTGGTTTCTGTACTTCCTGGTGGAAACACCCCAAGAGTGGCTGTTCTTGGGGTGCTTCTTTCCCCATCAAAAGCAGGATGTCTTGGAGATCTCGGGAGAGATGCTCTCCAGAGATCTAGCTCAAGGGGTTCAGAGAAGCCATTAAACTTTAGGGTGCCCATCCATCGCTGTCAGGAAACTCCATACCCAGGGAGACCGAATTCTACCCTCGCTTCAACATAGGGATTTGGGGATCTCGGTTTTCTCTTTTCGTACTACTGAGCAAATGCCCCATCGAAGGAAATGAAATCCCCAGCATCCCTCTGATTAGGTACCGATTACTGTTGTAAACCTGCAAGCCCAAAGGGAGTCAAGGCCTCACCGGGTCCTGCCTAGGGATAGCAGCACATATCGGATGAAGGTGCACCACCGTGATATGAGACTCCCAGCACGTGGTGGACACATGAAGTCCTGGGATAAAGACAGAGCAGAGGAAGTAACATTATACTCCTGCTGGATCTCAGTCAGACACTTACTCTCCTGCAACCTTGCTGTCACCTCGGGTGGTCTGGTGGTTCTGTACTCTATGGTGCATCATGCATTAGAGATGGGCCCTAGCCAAGTTCCCACTTCCAAACATATGGGCTTTTGGAGCCAAATCTCACTGGGATCAGACTCCAAAAAGGGCCAAGCCAAAATCCCAGGCCCATGCTAACCCCAAGCTCTGGGACATCCAAACTCCAGCTGCAGGTGTGAATTTGGCCCACGTCTGAATGTACCCGCTCACACGGGCGAGCCAGAACTTCATGCAAAACCCCCAGGCCCAGTTGAGCTGCCCTTGTGTCCTGGATTAACAACCCCAAGCAGCAGGAGCCCCCAAGCCATGGTCTGGCAAATTCTCTCACTGCAGAATCCTGCAGAGTTGCCTCAGGGTAATCCCATTCTCATGTGTTGCTTATCAGCAATACACCCTGTTTGCAGAATCTCTGATGCAGTGAATCCCCAGTCATCCTGTTTCCTTCCCTCGTTCCTTTCCTGATCAGTTTTCCCGGCTAGCTAGAGCAGGTTGGTGTTAGTCCCTTGTCCTGCTGAGGAGATCTCTGTTTACAGCCAGAGGGAACATGGATACAGATTCTCAATGCTGGGAGGCAGGAGGTTCAGTAGGGTGCATGGAGCCAGAGCCAGCGCAGCAGGATTTGATTCCTCTTTGTAATGGTTTGTTTGCCTGTATTTGAAAGTGATATGTCCCCTGTTTCCAAATGACATGGGGATGGGATGGCATGTTCCCTTTGCACGTGGCGTGCAAATGTGAAGTGAGATGTGCCCAAACTTCCATTTGCACGCTCATGTGTAAAAGCAAATGAAGTCACCACAACAGCGCATGCACCCTTTTTTAGACTTGCATGTAAATGTGAACTGACCAGACGCAGGAGGGTGTCTCATTTGCACACTCGCAGGCAGGAGGTGAGGTGTGGTGTGATGCAGGGAGCTCCCATTTGCACACTTAGACAGGAATCCTGCCCTCTCGTTAATGATCCAGAGTGTGTGTTTGTGCGAGACTCTCGCACCCATAGGCAAAGCAAGGGCGCTTTACAGCTAGGGAGACAGACACATGGCGATCCAGTGTAATGAGGAGCAAGGTTACAACCTTGGGCAGACAGAGCAGGCTGTCTCAGGGAGAGGATAGGGACGTAAATGTGATAGATCATAGACAGGCGGGTGGCCGTGGGGGAGCGAGGGCTGAGGGGAGACACCATGGTCATTGGGAACACCACTATAGTGCCACACCACCTCCCCGGGGTTAATGGCTCATTCACCCACATGCCCCCTGCAGGGTGTGAGTCATAGATTCCAAGACTAGCCGGGACCACTGGGATCATCTAGTCTGACCTCCCGTGTAACACAGGGCAGAGGCCTCTTTCTAAAGACTTTCCAGAGCAGAGCTTTTCGAAAACCATGGCCAGTGATGGAGACTCCACCGTGACCCTGGGTAAATGGTTCCCATGGCTAATTACTCTGACTATTAAATATCTACGCCTTATGTCCAGTCTGAATTTGTCCAGCTTCAACTTCCAGCTATTGGGTTGTGTTAGACCTGCAGTCTCTGTGACTACACCAGGGCCGGTAGAAAAGAGGATGGGGGGAAATGTATGCAATGCCCCCCCCAACCGGGGCCCTGCCTGCTTGGCTAGCAGCACTCCTCCCCTGTGAACCAAGCGGGGCCCACCTCCCCTTGCCATCAGCCCGTCCGGTTTGGGAGCTACACCTCAAAGCTGCTCATTCCACAGTGTGAGGTGATCCTAGGCACCCCGCTGACTTATCCTGTCCCCATAGCGCATCATCAGGGGCAGGCCCGGGCCCTACGGCCATGGAAAAACCCAGGGCACCTAGCTCCATCCCCCTCCTCCTCCGAAGAAGGATGCTTCCGGCTCTCGTTACTGAAAGGGTGACCGTTTATGGGGTCAGTTAATTGGACAAGAGTCCCTCATGTGGCCTTAATTAGCGAGCCTAAACGATTCGCCGTTAATCTATAGCGAGGAATAAGTTGCCTCATGAAATATTATGGATTGACAATTTGTCTGAGAGCTGCTGGGATACAATAACGAGATCCATTCCCTCTCTGGGGTTGATCTCCATCCCTGGGAGTCCAACCCTTCTGCTTGAGTTGGGGGGAGCACTCTCCCCCCTAATTAGGTCGAAGGTGGCTGTCGCGGCAGGAGGGTTGTGAAGGGGAGATGCGTAGGGGGCTAAACTGAGGACGCTGTTTGTTGTGTGTCCCGGGGCTGCATGGGAGCTAATGGTTTAGAACTGGTACTCCGTCCCCACCCCAGCGACTCGAGCCCCACAGCTCAGCGAGGTGGGCCTGCCCACGAGACACACCAGAACTTAGGGGTCTGTTACAGGAGTGGCTGGGTGAGGTTCTGTGACCTGCCATGTGCAGGAAGTCAGACTAGATGATCACGATGGTCCTTAAAGTCTATCAGTCTGTGAGCTTTTCGAAGTGCCAGTGGGATTCCGTCGCCCAACTCCCGTTCCTTTTAATGGGAGCTGAGCGTCCAAATCCCCTAGACAACTTTGCTGATCCCGGCCAAGGCCTCTCTCCTTCCTGAGACGTGGCGCCCTCATGCTATGAATCCGAGGAGACTCTTCAGAGCAGCCATCTCCCCATGGCTGCCAAAGGGCCCTCTCCTGCTGGTCCTCTGTGGCCAGGCACGGGCTCTGCTCCTGGGGCAGGAGCAGGCCACGTGGCTAATGGGTCCGTCTCTGGCAGCGCCTCCTCCCTTATTTAATGAGGGCTATCTGAGCTGCTTCCCAGACCCCAAGGAGGGATTTTCCCAGATGAGAACCCAGGCTTCTTACCCCTGGAGAAGGCCAGGAAGATACATTGGGGTGGCCTCCACTGCTGAGTATTACTGAGGGAGGGGGTCTAATTTCCAGTGGGAGATCCAGGGCTAGCTGCCCTTATGGCCAGGGGGAACAAGTTCCTAGGGGGCCGTTTGCAGAGCTAGGGTTTAACGCTCCAATACAGTCCCCTTTCGAACCTTCCTCTCTGTTAACCAGGCAAAAGAGCACAGATTTCCATGGAGGCAGGAGACAAGTAGATCCGCTCTGCCCCTTCCCGACAGCTTCCTTTCTTGTGTGTTCCTCCTTCCCCTTCCATCCACAGCCCCTTTGACTTACCCCCAGGGCAGACTAGTGCAGAGGGACTCAGAAACTGCATTTCTGCTGCTCAGGGGGAGCCCATTGGCCAAAGGGGGGCAGGAGGCCTTGCACAGGAGTTTGCCTTGCACGTCATATTGCACACGTCTCTGCCCACAGGGAAATCCCAGAGCTTGCTAAAGATATCTGGGCAGCCCAAGCCAGCCCTGTGTAAGCAGTAGTTCCTGGAAAGTCCAAGGGGAGAAGGGATTGTTAGTGCCAGGCAAGGATATGGGCACAGAGGTTACAGACAAGCAGCCCGGCCCTGACATGGTAGCCCAGGAATTATTCTCCATGCAGTTGCTATAGGGAAAGAGACAAGTGGGGAGAGACAAAGCATCTGGGACCCAGTATCACAATGAGAAGGTGAGGACAGCAGGACGGAAAGGTGACCCTCCTGGTAAAGAAAGGCCTCATTATATGGCTTCCAGGTCAGGAGATGGCCTGTTGGAGAAATGAAGGTGAATTTGGTCTGAGCTACACGCCCGCGTCCCTTTCCCTCCCACAGTGAGCTGCACGCAGGCAGACGTGTCGCCTTCTGCAAACTAAATTGAGTCTGTATTATTCGTATGAAAACGCCCCAGCTGTTTTCCTGCTGGGGCTTATGTCTGGGATTATCCATCACAATTCACCCCAGTGATGTTATTTTCCCTGATTTAATTACAAGATTGTTTGGTGGTTTGTTCCTGTGTTTTTGTAAATCATTTTTATTCAAGCCAGAAAAAAACAAAACACAAAACTCCATCTGAAGTTTTCTTTGGGAAAAAACAAACAAACAAACAAACACACACAAAAACCCAAATGTTAGAGCTGAATTGATTGCAGAGACGGCAGGGACAGAGGAGCCTTTCCTGGCTCATCGTTGAAAGAAACTCAGCGACTGTTCACCACAGATCACTGAGGGGGAGAGAGAGAGAGAGTCAGTATAGCACATAGAGACAGGAGCATGATTAGAAGAAGGGACCACTGGTTCCTTCGTTCTCACACACACATGCAATGAGTCTCCCAGTCTCAGCTTGCCAGTCAGTCTGCTGGAGGAGAAGGGCTGAGAGAAAGGGGGGGCGGTCTCCATTGAGTTTTGTAGGTGGACAAGTTTGTAGCATGCCAGCAGGGCTTCCCAAACAAAGCGCTGCTTGGAGTTTGCTGTGAAGAAGTTGGGGCTGGGATCCACTCCCGTCCCAGTTTCTTTTTCCCAAAAGGAAGCAGTGCAAGGCATGTTGTGGAAGGGCTGGCTGGAGAGATGCTTCGAGCTTCTCCAGGCCAAGCAGTAGGAAACGCTCTGGAAACAATGGCCGGTAGAGAAATGCAATCCCACCCCAATCCGACAGCTGTTGGAAATGCTGGAGAAATGGTGGGTGTTTGGAAGAGTAGACCAGCAGGAGGGGCGGTGGGGAATGGTCTAGGAACATTGAATGTGCGGCGCTCGTGGCTACCCCAGTCCCAGCCTCTCCCAGCAGGAGGCGCTGTGGGGAACGCTGCCAGCACTGTGTGCACTGAAGCCTCTCCGTATTCTACGTGGCTTATGATAGCACTTTACCCCTCCCCCGGTTTGTGACTTTCTTTTTCTGTTTCGACATGATCCGTAGCGAATTAGAGTGACTCGCTCTGCGTACGACTGCGCTTCCCTGCAGAGCACCCCCTTCCACCGAGAGAGGCAGGGGAGGAGGGGGGGAACATGGGGGGGGAGGAGAGGATGAGACTGTGTCAACTTGCTCCCATCCAAATCCTGCCTCCGACCGTCATTCCTGGAACTCACCCCCTCTCTCCACAAAGGGCCAACCTTGCAGCCGTTACTCACCGGAACGAGCCCCGTTGAAGGCGATGGCACAGTCCGAGATTCACCACCGTGCCGAAGAGCCAGCACCAGTCCAGGTGCCACGTTAGCCCTTAAAACAGGGTTTAAGTAGGATGTCCGAGGGGACGGCCCAGCTCCTCAATGGCGTTTAGGCACCGAACTGCCATTGAGCTGAGGATCTGGGCTGAAAGGCCTTGGGGCTGGTCCTCTGCACGGGGTTGAATTCCATCCATGAGCAAAGGTTGCAAGGTCAAGCCCTACAGAAGGGGCTTGTCCCATACCTTCGCACAGCGCGGCATCCCATATGTGATCTACTTAAGGGTGAATGTAAATGTAATGACTATAAGGGGCCAGATCCTCAGCTGGTGTAAAAGGGCATCCATGGAGAGCTGCTGCAGCTGATCTGGCTGGCTCTTTCTTTACTTTCCAAACATGGTCCCTTAACTCCAGTGACTTTTTTTTTTTTCTTTCTTGCTGTAATTATCATTGTGGAATAAAAAAAAACAACCCTAAAAAAAAACAAACCTTGCATTTTTTTGTAATCTGTGTTGTAAGTGCTTTTGTAAAAAAAAAATAATAATAATGTAACGGACTGAATTTGCTTTTATGATTTTTTGTTTTGTTTTCCATCCTTTGTAATAATTTTTGGTTGGGGGGGGGACGTTTTCATGGTTCTGATTGGGGGGGTGTTGCTTCACCCTCCCTTTTACTTGTATAAAAAAAATTAGTGGCTCAGCTGTGGAAAGAAATGTACTTTTTTATAAATAAAGAATTTTAAAAGAAGCAGCGCTTTTCCTTTTCGACCGCGAAGGTGTGGCGCTGCGACGCGCGGCCGGGTGCAACAAAATCCGGAGAAGCTGCACCTTTCCCGTTGCCTTGATCTCTTCTGTGAGATACGGTGCTTTGAAAGGGGACGGCTTGCAATCCAGAACCCATGACTGTCACAGGACAAGCGTGGAGAGATCAATGCACTGCAGGCAGTAAAGGGTGCCTTGCTAGAGAACACTCTGGAGGCTACATCTCTATGGGCCTATTGATTGATCTCTCCGTAGGGAAAAACCTGATCTTTGCCCTCCATTGTCTGTCTGTCTGTCTACAAACAGCTTGCCAGGAACCCTTGTTCCTCGCTCATGCAGAGCCTCCTGTCTTTGGAGAGAGAGATTTAGCTAGACAGTGACATACAATAGATGATAGATCAAATAGAGCAAATTTGTTCTTGCATCCACTGAAGTCAATGGGAGTTTTGCCATTGATACCCATAGAGCGGACCCTATTAAAGAGCTCAGTAAGCATGTGGGGAAACCAATGGGAGGCTTGCAACTGACTCTAGTGTATGTAGTGCCTGGCTCATAGTGATGTCCCTATACTGCACTGAACAGCTTTGCTCAAAAGCCCTGACCACTGTGGGACAAGGAACACCCTGTTCTGGCTACTGGTTCCCAGCAGCCAACTCCCAACACAGTTTCCTCCATGGGTGGAAGGCAGCATTTGCTTTCTTTTCTGACTGCCTATCGCTGTTTAGCGAGAGATGAACTTGAACCAAAACCCGGGGTCCCAGCACCCCAGAGAGACTGGGAGTGGGATCCTGATCCAAATCTGAACTCAGCCGGATCCAGATCTTAACTCAGCTGATTCGTGCTGCAGTATGGAATTGTTCTACAGACAAGCTGGGTTGGGTTGGGTGTGTGTGGGAGGAGGGAGAGTTAGTCTGCATCGCACAGCTCAGCTCACATGGTTCGTTCCCCATCTTCAATGATGCATGCTGGCAGCTAGCACCCGTCTGGTCTCAGTGTAACAGGGCCTATGGAGAGGTTACATCAGAACCAGGAATGCAGTTCGCAAAGCACTGGCCTGACTGGGGGGTTGTCTCGTTTCTTCCCTAGATGGCTTGACCTAGAGCTGGGGTTCCCCTTAAAGCAATGGGCTTAATCCTTCGTACCCCAAGATAGCTGCCTCTCTTTAGCCTCAGATCTAGTCTGACCCAGGGGTTCTCAACCTGGAGGTCACACACACGAGTCAGAGGGTTGTGACCACCCTGCCCCTCTCGTATTGTGTATGGGAAGGGGGGTCAGCAGGGGCGGGAGGATTATATGGAAGAGGGGTTGCAGTGTGGAAAAGGTTGAGAAGTCCTGGGTGATGGTGTATAGATGTGGGGCTCGGGCCTTGAACAAGCACGGGCCATTCCCATTGACTTCATCAAGATGGTCAACATAACCCAGGGATTAACTTTGTCCTGCAGGATCAGTCTCTCACACAGACTGGGAACTCGCCTTGGCCCGTCGCTGGTCGCTAGCATGCTCCGTAGCTTGCTGGGCCCGGGGCATCCCACATTCCCAGGAGCCCCCTGAACCCAGGGGCTGGGACTCAGTATGAAGGTACGTGTATGATTGGTAGCTGCAGCTTTATGGCCTGTGCACAGCTCAGGGACTGAGCCCTTCCACCCTGCACGGGGCTCAGCGTAGAACCCAGGGGGGATCTTTCGGGGGTGGGTGGTTGGAAAGATGCTCTCCTTTAGGTGTTCTAAGGACCTGGCAGGAATTTGGAGAGGGATGTTAATCGGGGAGGCTTTAGGGGAGGGATGAGCCAAAGGAATCCCAAGCAGTATTTGCGCAGCAAATTCAGTCCTGCCCCACCCTCCCCTTCCCTGGCTGCTCCTCGGGACCAGACATTAATATCCAGAAGGCAGCCCCTGAGCCCCTAGTGGGGTGAGCCGCTGGCTCAGCTGGGGTCTGAATGCCACAAACCTAAGAGCAGGGAATCTTAGTGGCTTGAGACTAATCAGGGCTTCGGTGGCAGTTAAATTCTGATCGATGGCTCCCATGTAAGGCTGAGGGCGACCCCTCCGGATCGGGGCTGGGAAGGGCCAGCATGCACTGTGCTGCCAGTGTTCATCACAGGCACCCCACTGGGGCTGGCACAGGAGAAGGGGGCACTCCAGCACCGGAGGCCAGCTCAAGACAGAGTTAAAGAATAACTATCATGTTCCTGCTGCAAATGTGGGCACACGCTCGCCCTCGCCTTGCTGCTGATGCACGATAGGTTCCCCTCCCAGCGGCAGGAGCAGCGATGTGTGCTTCTGAATGCCAGCCAGGGTCCTGTTGGTTCAGATCACTGCCAGGCAAGTTGGGGGCAAATCTGTCCGTACTGATTTGGCCTGAGGTGGTCTTGCAAAAGTGCATGGGAAGGAAAAGGTCAGCAAGCGGCCCAAGGGCTGCAGGCAGGCCATGGGGCAGTGCCAGCCCCCAAGTCGGGTGCCCGTATCTTTATTCCATTGTTTGGCAGCTCTTCTCCTCTGACCTTCCCTCGCCTGGGCACAGCAGATGTCTGCAAAGCAGCATCACTTCAGTTGCAATCATTCAAGTCAGCAGCACCAACAGAGACTAATACGCTGATGTACAGGGGCATCGGCGTATATAACAGGACTCCTAACAGCTGGTTCAGCAGAGCCAGCCAAGTTCAGTGGGAGATAAGGGAGCACAGATTGGGCTGCGAGCTGGAAAGAAGGCAGGGATGGAGGGTGGGGCCTGCTGCTCTTGTGCATAGTAGCGACCACTCCAGGGAAGTGCTGCCCTCATTTCCCAGGCCCTGGCTTCCAGTTGAGCGATGATGGATAAAGCCCATAACATGGGGCTGCTTCTCCGCTTGGGCTGCAGGGAGCTGAGCTCGATAGAAGCCGGAGCTCCCGCCTTGTGCCATAAAGTGTTTTGTTTCTCTGGAACAAAATAAAAACACGGTGGTGAGTGGAATCCGTGTGTGTGTGTGTGTGCGTGTACGTGTGTGTGTGTGCGCGCACGCGCAGCTTGGGGAAATATGGCGGGCAGGCGGGGCAGCTTGGATGTATTCCTAAAGCTACATCTTTGCAACCTATAGGCTGGCACAGCTGGTGGCGAGGGCTAAACTGAACAAGCTGATGTGAAGGAGGCTAGATCTGGCTGCAGAAGCCAAAGGACAGATTCTGATCTCAGTGTAAATCTGGAGCCAATAGAGTGACTCCAGATTTACGTCAGTGGAGCCGAGAGATGAATGGGAATGAGCGATCGATTCTCCCTCCCCTGGGCTGGTTCCAAGCTGCCGGGAGCCAAACGTCCATGCAGGCTGAGTTCCCCCTGCCATCTGGGACAGGGTGATCGCTGCAGGGCAAGGTCAGGGTGGCACTGATGGCCCCACGGGTGGGGAGCCCAGGGCTGGATGGCCAGGCAGCGTGAATTCCCCCATCTGGAGAGCGCGATCCTGCCAGGTCGAGGGAGCGAATCCATCAGTGCAGCAGATGGCCAGGGAGGATGCTAAGCATGCCTCTGGTTCCTGTACTGTGTGCCCTGTGCTGCAGGTACAGTCCCCGCCCATTCAAGGAGCTTCCCTGGCATCAGTCCATCAAAAGCACTCCGTGCTGTGCGCAAAGGCCTTGCAGAGCTCACTGCACCCGGAGAGGGCTCCTTGCACTCCCCTCCCCGTCCCGCTCCCTGCCCAGCTCAGCTTCCCTAGCCGTTGCCAGGCCCAGCCTGTCCTCCCACCAGCGCTGCCAAGCCCAGCGCTAGCAAAGTTCTGATTCCTTTCATCAGTGCTTCCTTAAGAGGTCTCTGTCTTCTGCAACAGCAGGGCGAAGGCAGGCGGCCTGGAACTGCTCCACGGAGCGAGTGCTGGAGCAGCTGGGGGAGGTTGGCCTGAGTGCGGGAGCTGCTGTGGCTCAGAGCTTGCATGTTTCTCTCTGCTTTAATTTTAGGCCTGGAGCAACAGCCTTGAAGGTCTAGATGGTATCCCCTGTACAAGCAGGCAGCCCTATGTTTGGGTCCTGTTTGCGATATGAGCCTCCAGTTGGGGCAAATCAGGCATCACCCCACTGAAGTCAGTAAAGTTACACCCCTGTCACCATGGGGTCAGGGAGGGGGGAATCTGGCCCTGTCAAAGTCACCTCTGTTTAGCTTTGCCAGGGCAGCTTCAGCGCACGACCCCATGGAAGGGAATGAGCCAGACTCGCAGCCGGCGTAAGCACGTCCAGCCCTGTTGGCTTTGATGGCATTGCCTGCCTTTTCCCCTGGGTTGAATTTGGCCCAGATGGGCTGCCTGGCGAGTGAGTGTGGAATCCTGCTCAGTGCAAGCAGGGAACCTGCCTGCCGGTTTGGTGCGTCGGAGCTCTGGGGAGGGAGTTCTCCTCCAGGAGGTTCCTAACCCCTCACCTCTTGCACGACACTCGGTATCAAGTAAATCCCCAAGGATCCATTTGTGCTGCAGGCTCAGCAGAGCCAGTGTTGGAAGAGTTACTGGAACGTTAGCCATGTCTATAGGAGAGTGCGCTCAGGCAGAGTAAAGGCTGGAGATCGATTCCACTGGCAGAGAGTCCATCTAGATCAGTGTAAACCCAGGGCTAGACTGATGCTTAGACCCTATGGGGAGGGATGACCCAAAAAAACCACAATCCGCTCTGAGTTAGGATCAATGCAGAGGTACTCCACAGTCCTTTCAGCTTGACCCTTGCTATGGTTAAAGACAGGGCCGGTGCAACCATTTAGGCGACCTAGGCAGTCGCCTAGGGCGGTAGGATTTGGGGGGCGCCATTTTCTTCGGCAGCGACCTCGGCGGTCGGATCTTCGGCCGCCCCGGTCGCCGCCGGCATTTAGGCGGAGGGAGCTGGGGCAGTGGAGCGCGGGGAGGGCCGCCTGCAGCAAGGGGGAGGGGGCGGCACACAGGGGAACTCCCCGCTCCAGCTCACCCCTGCCCCACCTCCTCCCCGAGCACCCCGTC